ACTTATTTCTATATATTATCCATGGGAACTTATTTTCGTATATTATCTACGTTAATTTATTTTTGCATTTTATCTATAGAAACTTATTTTCGTATATTATCTACCGAAACTTATTTTCGCATATTATCTACCGAAACTTATTTTCGCATATTATCTACCGAAACTTATTTTCGCATATTATCTACGGAAGTTTATTTACGTGTAATATCTACGGATACTTATTTTCGTTATTTACGAGAACTTCCGCAGATAATTATGAACAAAAGTAACACTGAAAGACTGATACTATCGACTGATATTGAGTCCGTGCCGTCAGAGGCGCGAAACAATTGCATCTTTTTATTGATGAAGGATAATTTTATCATTCAACTTTTCAAAGCTCGTAAGTTGTGGCTGTGACTGCCATTGCAAGTGGCTGTTACGAGAAGCGGAAGCCGAGTGTGGTTTGACCTTGCAACACACCTGAATGCTTCGCCGCCAACCCTCTGAGGAGTAATGTGTAGTCTACCTTGCTCAGCGCATCGAAAACAGTTCCTGTATTACTGTGCTGAGCCCCATAATCGCCGTTCCTGAGCACCGCTCCTCGAGTACACCTGTATTTACCGCACTGTGCACCGCTCCTGTGCTAGGTAAGTCCACTACGAGCTCACCATAGCCCGTGCTACTTGCCCCGCTCCTGTACCGGGTAAGTTACGGGCTCACCATAGCCCGTGCTACTTGGAACGTGTTCCGAGTAGCCGAATCTATAACAACAACAACGCCAACGTTCGCGTGAACAGCTTCTCCAGTACACCTGTAGTGTGCACAGCTCCTGTGCTCAGCCTATTGAGCACAACTCCCCGTGAAAAAACTCTCCGTGGACCTCCCTTGATAATATCTGGTGAGTGGTAATGTTAGGGACGTGGGAAGTCCTCTCTCCTCGGGGCTGGCCTCCTACTCCAACAGGGTTCGTGACCTGATCAAAAAGTGTGTGTGTGTGTGTACCCACTAAGTTATCGCTACTCTTTAGCAAACCTAACTTAACCTCATGACGATAAAAAAAAATTTCAGTTCTGTGTTGTGAAGACGAGATGTGTGACGTCGAGATGAGTGACGTCACTGTGACGTCACTATGTTCCTGTTGGTACAGGTCTTAAGATCCTGCTGTAATCTTCTGGTCTTCTTAAGACGCTTTTAAGACCCCAGTCAAACACCTGTCAACAGTGGCGGATCTCCTGTCAAAATGATTAACTGTCCAATTACCGGACCCAAGACAGTCACACCCGTACATCTGTCTCACAGTTTGGCAGTTGACTCCTCGGCCTCACGGTCTGATACTCCGTAAAAATACGACTGTTATAAACAGAAACGGACGCTCCATTCCTACCTCTTCACCTATCGAGGCTGATTCATGGGAAACGTAAATGTTTCAGTGTTTTCATTTTCACTAATAGGTCGCATTTTTAACGGAATTGCCGATGTCATAAAAAATGGGTTGGACCCATTGCGGTCATCTGAGTGTACTCTTAATAAATACAAAATAAAAAAAAGTTATTTACATGACATATTGTATTCATCTTTACTTGTCAATATAACTTCGTAACTTAGCTGTCTACTTTTGCTGGTCAGAACATGACTGATGCGCCCGTAAGGTGATACTAAAACCTGAGTATCCAGAGAGTATGAGTAAAATGATGATGCTAGGGCCAGGAACATTAAGTATATTTTGATGATGGTGATGATGCTGGGATAGGAGAATAAAGTCATCTCACGTAGATGATGCTGATGCTGAGCCAGAAGCATCAGTGAGGTAACCACATGAACATGTATACTATATGGAAGCAATGACACATTAATATTATTTGATGGTCGACAGCTGGACGATGCGTTGGAAAAGCAGAAGAGAAAATGCACCTAAATGAGCAGGGAAACACCTGGCGTACCAGCGTCCGACTCGTGTAAAAATATTTTTTAATATTTTAATATTTTTAATATTAATATTAATATATTATTATTATTATTAGTTATATATTATTTAATATATTTTAATATTTTTAATATTAATATTAATATATTATTATTATTATTAGTTATATATTATTTAATATATTTTAATATTTTTAATATTTTTAATATTCGAATAGAAAGTTGAAGTGTTTACATTGCTAATTTCTCACCAATGCTTGTCTCAGTTGAGGAGAATTTTGATTTTGTTGACATTTAGGGGTGGAGGGAGGTGAGGAATATTTTCTTCTGCTGCTCTTCTCACTTCATCTAAAACTGTGAAGACATCTCAGAGACATAAACAATCTAAATCTATAAAAAGTTGTATTTCTGCTCGAATTTAGAGGCTAGACGCTTGAGGGGGCAAGCATCACACAACTTTGCACAGTGATTGCTGTGGGGTAGATGAGCAACATGGGCAGGACGGCGATCGGCTCCATTGCTCCCAGCACAATGTGCTCCCTCCCATACTGAACACCAGTTCATACTTCAGAACCTGCTAAAAAAAAAATCCTACTATAGCTTAACGCATTTTTCCAATGATCTCAACACAAATTAATTCTAATCTTCGTACTTTGTTCATGATAAGCTGAGGAAATGTTGATGGTGTCAGCTGATGAAAGGGTTGAAGAGTAGAGTCCCCAGCCCACGAACCTGAAAATGAGGAGTTGACGTTTCGCTCCGGCCTGGACCATTTTTTTTTCTACCACAGACGTGGCCACACATTTACAATGCTAACCAGCATATATACATTTTCTTCTGTCCTCCATGGACAGGGTTAGAGATCAGTTAAACATATAGTTCAGGGATTTATTGAACAATCAACTACAGAAGGTGATTCGGTACTTTTAAAATGCTAAGCTAACCTAAATACGTAAATACATAGATACACAGATTTACGTATGCCCTACATAAAGTGTTCGAAGTGTCATTAATGTGCATTTACAAAGGTGAAATGCATTCTGATCAGCTTCCATAAGTACTTTATACACATACATATACATACACACACATGTATACGTACATATACATATATACATGCATATATACACACATGCATTCACATACATTTGTCTCTTTTACTCTGACAGGGTGAGATAGCTGACAGAGAAACTAGTGTGCAATTAAGCACTTAATCACTGAAGTTGATTAAGGTGCTTTTACAAGCTCAGGTTATATAGTTACATCACATACATACATTGTATAATTTATACATTACATGGTCAATCTTGGGTACAAGTCCAATATATCATTAAGTGTTCCAGTACTCATATAGTAATTACACAGTTCAGCATACCTTAGCCCAGGGAGCGAAAGTCAGTCAATATGGGACCTGGACCATTATCAAGTCTTGTCTCGCTAGAAGCCCACAGTAGCACGGTACTACGTGAGTGTTCCCGTGCACCCGTGTCTCCCAGTGCACGACCCGTGTCTCCCAGTGCACGAGACGTGTCCACGTTCTCCCTCTGTCCACCCTCCTCCCCTTCCATACATCTTTACCTCCAGACCCTGAGTTGGATGAGCAGAGACAGAGACATAGAGGCAGAGAGCGACAGAGATAGACACAGACCGAGAGACAAAGACACACAGACAGAACGGCAGAGACTCAGAGTGAGAGAGAAAGAAAGACAGAGAAACAGAGGCAAAGAGGAGCATAGAGACACATAAAGAGACATAAAGAGACGGAGATAAACACAGATATAAAAACAGATACGTGGTGTTTACCAACACGTCCAACAAGAGAACCACTTGCCCGCTAGATTGACCGCCACTTGACCGCTAGGTTGTTAGTGTTACAACAAAATAAAGAGAAATTCAGGGGAATCGCTTTTTGAATCCGGAAGACAAGCCCATCGGTCAGTGTTCAAAATACAGATGGTTTAAGTTCCATCTTCCAGCGCTAACCAAATCGTGGGGAATATAAGCTTACAACCAGGTATTCATCTGAATATGCTTGCAGAGGAAAACTTCAGCTCCATAGTTAATGGGGGATCACTTATATGGGATTGGCTCGCGACCGATTGGCTAATCTTGAATTGAAGCTGAGTGTGGAGTCACGCTTCAACTTCATCCTCTTCTAGCTCATTCCACTTACTCATTACTGTGTGACTGAAGATGTTCGATTTGCCCATTGATCTTACACTGGAGAAACTCCATTCACTCACTATTACACTGAAGAAGTTCCACTTGCACACTACTCTTACACTGAAGAAGTTCCACTTGCTCATTTCCGTATATATTTGCCATTTATGTAGTCTTGTCCTATCAATTTAAAGAGTTTATGTGTACTCACCTAGCTGTGCTAGTGGGGGGTTGAGCTTCAGCTCTTTGGTCTCTGTGTCTCTCTTCTGGTGGGTGTGTGTGTGTGTGTGTGTGTGTGTGTGTGTGTGTGTGTGTGTGTGTGTGTGTGTGTGTGTGTGTGTGTGTGTGTGTGTGTGTGTGTGTGTGTGCGCGCGCGCGCGCGCGCGCGTGCGTGCACATACGAGGGTGTATCTTTCTCTCTCTCTGTTTGTAAGCACATACCTTTCATGTGGAAAAAATCCAAAATTTGTAGGATGGGCAGGAAAAATGACTGAGGTTCGAGTTTCCGGCACCAGACCAATGTTTTTAGCCTAATGAAAAAACATTCCTCCCCTCAGTTCGTTCTTTTTTCCCTCCGATTTGTGAGGAAAAATAAAGCTGTTGTAGGTGGCCGTAACGCTAGCTTAATGGCATCATAACACCCCCCCCCCCCGCTCCCTCTATAAAAGAATTTACTAACTAAAAGTTTGCAATTATCTGCAATCTCAACTCAGCCATACGTTGATGCGGGTTAGCGCAGCCTCTCTATCAAATAGAAATTCTTATACATTGGCAGCCTCTAAATTAACATTATGCAATATTGGTTGGAGTTGTGGTTTGTTGATGTTGTTGTTGTTGTTGTTGACTTAGGGGTGACGGCGACAGAAGCAATAAATGTCTTAGTATCCACCTGGTGTCTTAATATTTTATATTAATTTCTTTATATTTTCTGTCAACTAACAATGGTAATCAGGTGCTGTACTGGCATGCCGTGGCACCCAGGTGCTGTACTGGCATGCCGTGGCACCCAGGTGCTGTACTGGCATGCCGTGGCCCCCGGGTGCTGTACTGGCATGCCGTGGCCCCCGGGTGCTGTACTGGCATGCCGTGGCCCCCGGGTGCTGTACTGGCATGCCGTGGCCCCCGGGTGCTGTACTGGCATGCCGTGGCCCCCGGGTGCTGTACTGGCATGCCGTGGCCCCCGGGTGCTGTACTGGCATGCCGTGGCCCCCGGGTGCTGTACTGGCATGCCGTGGCCCCGGGTGCTGTACTGGCATGCCGTGGCCCCCGGGTGCTGTACTGGCATGCCGTGGCCCCCGGGTGCTGTACTGGCATGCCGTGGCCCCCGGGTGCTGTACTGGCATGCCGTGGCCCCCGGGTGCTGTACTGGCATGCCGTGGTACTGGCCCCGGGTGCTGTACTGGCATGCCGTGGCCCCCGGGTGCTGTACTGGCATGCCGTGGCCCCCGGGTGCTGTACTGGCATGCCGTGGCCCCCGGGTGCTGTACTGGCATGCCGTGGCCCCCGGGTGCTGTACTGGCATGCCGTGGCCCCCGGGTGCTGTACTGGCATGCCGTGGCCCCCGGGTGCTGTACTGGCATGCCGTGGCCCCCGGGTGCTGTACTGGCATGCCGTGGCCCCGGGTGCTGTACTGGCATGCCGTGGCCCCGGGTGCTGTACTGGCATGCCGTGGCCCCCGGGTGCTGTACTGGCATGCCGTGGCCCCCGGGTGCTGTACTGGCATGCCGTGGCCCCCGGGTGCTGTACTGGCATGCCGTGGCCCCCGGGTGCTGTACTGGCATGCCGTGGCCCCCGGGTGCTGTACTGGCATGCCGTGGCACCCGGGTGCTGTACTGGCATGCCGTGGCACCCGGGTGCTGTACTGGCATGCCGTGGCCCCCGGGTGCTGTACTGGCATGCCGTGGCCCCCGGGTGCTGTACTGGCATGCCGTGGCACCCGGGTGCTGTACTGGCATGCCGTGGCACCCGGGTGCTGTACTGGCATGCCGTGGCACCCGGGTGCTGTACTGGCATGCCGTGGCACCCGGGTGCTGTACTGGCATGCCGTGGCACCCGGGTGCCAGGTGCTGTACTGGCATGCCGTGGCACCCGGGTGCTGTACTGGCATGCCGTGGCACCCGGGTGCTGTACTGGCATGCCGTGGCACCCGGGTGCTGTACTGGCATGCCGTGGCATCCAGGTGCTGTACTGGCATGCCGTGGCACCCGGGTGCTGTACTGGCATGCCGTGGCACCCGGGTGCTGTACTGGCATGCCGTGGCACCCGGGTGCTGTACTGGCATGCCGTGGCACCCGGGTGCTGTACTGGCATGCCGTGGCACCCAGGTGCTGTACTGGCATGCCGTGGCACCCGGGTGCTGTACTGGCATGCCGTGGCACCCGGGTGCTGTACTGGCACCCGGATGCTGTACTGGCATGCCGTGGCACCCAGGTGCTGTACTGGCATGCCGTGGCACCCGGGTGCTGTACTGGCATGTATGCTGTGTCAGTATGGTCAGTATGGCACCTGTTCCGTATCATGGTCGAGTCGGTTAGGGCAGGTGTCTGGAATTCACCAAAACGTGAGGTCGAGTCATTCCATTGCCTCAAAATGATTTTCATTGAATGACAACAAAGAAAATTGAAATTGGAGAATTCTTCTCCCAGTGGAAGAATGATGACTTCTAGAATCTACTAGAATGGTTCGCTAGTAGATCAATAATGATATTACCGCTAGTGAATAGAAGAATGCCAACTAAACACAGTTAGTCAGAAGTGGAATGATCATACACCCCCTAGTTAACATAGTAACTATTAACCAGACAAAGTATTGTCGTACTCTTGATATAAATAAATGACAAAAGATCCATATCCCTCGATGAAGTTTTTTACCAACAGACAAAACCATTGCGCCTCAACTTCCATCCCATCCCAATTTGCTCTCTCTCTCTCTATCATTAAAGATCATTTCATTAAAATAACAAAGGTCTAATACCTGACATATTCGTCACACGTCAAAATCCCAGAACTCGGAAATATCAAGGGCTTGAGTGTCCCCATTGGACCGGACTGCATTATTTCTGTAAGCTATTTGCAGATTCCCAAAATTCAGTATGCAAATCAGGTCTGTATCTCAAATACACAGTAAACATGTATAATTTTCCTGGCTAATCGCTCATGTAACATTTTGCGATCCAATGATCTCCTTGTCTCTGAAATCAGAACCTGAACGAGCAGGGTTAAATCCTTCTCCATTATGGTGCCTCTTTCACAGGTACACGGTATGGGGAAGGGGTTGGGGGGGGGGTGAGGGAAGAGGGAAGGGGAAGAGGGAGGGAAGGGGAGAGGGAAGGGGGGTGCATCCGGTGCAATATAAGTTTAGTCATCTCACTCGTCATTTCATTAATCACAGGCAATTTTTTTTTTTTTTTCGTTTTAGCGATCACTTCCAACTTGGTTTAAATCATATTCGATTTATTCTTTCGTTCTCAGACTTCTGACATGACTCTTAAATTGTGATTCGTTGCCGTCTGTTCCCTTACTCCTTGACTCTCTACCACCTGACTCTCTACCACCTGACTCTCTACCACCTGACTCTCTACCACCTGACTCTCTACCACCTGACTCTCTACCACCTGACTCTCTACCATCCCCTTGCCCCCTCCCCTCCAGGGGTGTCAGCATATGTGATATACCCAACAGATATGCCGGGGATTAAGAGTGGTATAACGCTCTCCGGATAAAGCCTAATGAACACAGGCCGGTTAAAGTCGGCTTTCTCTAATTACCCTAAGTAACCGGAGCGTTATAGGTAGGGTAAGCTACTTCTGGTTAGAACAGTGAGGTTAGGATATGTTAGATTAGATGAGGTTAGGATATTAAGTTGCGTTAGGTTAGGTAACGTAAGGTCAAGTTAGATCAGATTATGTTAGGTTAGCGAAGGTCAAGTTAGCTTAGGTTATAGCAGATCGGTATAGTTCCACCACACCATATCTCCTTGGTCAGGTGAGTACGAACGGGCTCACCATAGCCCGTGCTACTTGGAATTTTTTGCTCCCAGTAGCTGAAAAAAAAATCGCATGGGGGTGGGGGAGTGGGTCAGAGGGGTCCCTATAGAGATTCTAGTATTGATTAAAGCATTTACCTTAGGCCGACTCTGACGAGCCTGTTCCCTGCATCATTCCTCCCTCCAACACTGAGTGAGGTTAGCCCAAAGCGTTTGGCCTACAACCTTGGATAGACACAGAGATGTTCTCCCTTGTAAATAGATGGATTAGGGTAGTGTGGGTTAGCGTAGTCTGGTATATGCTTGTGTGGATTAGAGTAGGCTGGATCAGAATAGACTATGAATTTGGGTAGGCAAGATTAAGGAGGGTTACGGTATTCTAGATTATCGTGGGCAACGGACTGCTAGATTAGGGTGAGATATGGTAATCTAAATTTGGGTAAGTTTGATTAGGGAGGGCTTGGGTAGGCTAGGCTAGGGTAGTCTATATTAGGGGGGGGCTAAAAACGGCTAGAATAGGGTGGGCTAGGGTAGGTTAGCGTACAGAGTGCTAGGGTAGGAGAGGCTAGAGTGGGCTAAGCGCACTTAGGGCTTAGGTAGGCTAGGACAGGGCGAACTAGCAAGCACAGGTTGAAAAGCCCTCAAAATATAATTATAATAAGCCTGCATGCCAAGAACAATTCTATCTTCCACGTCCCTACCTGCCAACAACCACTCTACCCGCCATCAACCACCCTACCAACCACCCTACCAGCAATCAACCACCCTACCAGCAATCAACCAGGCTACCACCTCTCCTTCATCAACTCCTCAGGCTACAGCTCACATAATAACAGAGCAAAATAACACACAGTGAAGCCTGTAATGTTTCGCTGTATTTCCTTTAAGAGCTTCCTCGAAAATGTACAAACGTTCACTTCCTCACAATGAGTTATTAAAGCTACTTAAATCCTTTCATTCGCCAAACTCATTTCCTTTATTGGATTAACAGCACTGGATTAGCCGCATTCGATTAGCTGGTTTTATTCCTCTGGATTACCTGTAAGATTCAAGTTGTCAGTGAACAGGTAAGTAGGCTCTTGTGTAATAGTCAAGTACCGTGTTGGTCTCTCTGTCTCTCTCTCGTCCTCGCCCTCTCTCGTCCTCGCCCTCTCTCGTCCTCGCCCTCTCTCGTCCTCGCCCTCTCTCGTCCTCGCCCTCTCTCGTCCTCGCCCTCTCTCGTCCTCGCCCTCCCTCGTCCTCGCCCTCCCTCGTCCTCGCCCTCCCTCGTCCTCGCCCTCCCTCGTCCTCGCCCTCCCTCGTCCTCGCCCTCCCTCGTCCTCGCCCTCCCTCGTCCACGCCCTCCCTCGTCCACGCCCTCTCTCGTCCTCGCCCTCCCTCGTCCTCGCCCTCCCTCGTCCTCGCCCTCCCTCGTCCTCGCCCTCCCTCGTCCTCGCCCTCCCTCGTCCTCGCCCTCCCTCGTCCTCGCCCTCCCTCTCTCCTTTTCCCTGTTTATGTCTCTTCCCAAATCTCACCTTTTTCCTTGTATTCTCCGTGGCTTACTAAAAACATCACCAGGTGCAGTATACTAGGAGTAGATATACCAAGTACTGTATGTTAAGCCAGTATGTCATGAACAATATACGTTATACTGTCCAGTGCAGTTTGTGTTATGAGTGGCTTCAGTTCACTGATCCATTTATCCTGTATGTCATGCAGCGATTTATATATGATTAATTTGATCCATTCAATCGTTTTTATCCCATTTTATTTGTTCATATTGATTTCATATATCTTTTGCAGTTGATTAAATTAATCTTCGGAGCGCACTGGTAAAGCTGCGTGTGTGTGTGTGTGTGTGTGTGTGTGTGTGTGTGTGTGTGTGTATTCACCTAGTTGTGCTTACGGGGGTTGAGCTTGAGGTTTGGCTCTTCGGTCCCGCCTCTCAACTGTCAATCAACTGATGTACAGGTTCCTGAGCCTACTGGGCTCTATAATATCTACATTTAAAACTGTGTATGGAGTCAGCCTCCACCACATCACTTCCTAATGCATTCCACCTGTTAACTACTCTGACACTGAAAAAGTTCTTTCTAACGTCCCTGTGGCTCATTTGGGTACTCAGTTTACACCTGGGTCCCCTTGATCGCGTACCACCCGTGTTAAACAGTTTATCCTTATCTACCATCCTAACCTCCCAGAGGACCCAAAACAGAAAACGGGACAGTACGTCACTTTCACCAGCCGCTTTCATTTTCTAGTACGACCATTTTTGGCCTTATGTAACGCATACGAGGGAAAAGCGACGTTCTTTGTAAGAGGACAGGTTGGGGAGAGATAGGGGATATCTATCTATCTATCAGGGAGGGGAGCAAGAAAGAGAGGGAGGGGAAGAGCTGGGTATATCTTACCAAATAGCCAATTCCGTAGTGAATTAATCTTCCTCTATGAGTGAGCATAAAGTATTGGGTTTAGAATTTAGATGAATTACATACTGACTTGACTGACTGGTTTTGCAGGTTGCTCACCATTGCATGACCTAATTTCCACGTATTTCCAAGCAATATTCGCACAAGAAGAAGACAGCCATGCACTGACACTTGGTATCCTATATAAAAACATGAGAAGCTCACAAGGGTATGAGTTAAGTCCAAGATGCTGTCCATTGCAATGTAAGTAGGTTAAGACTTTTTCTCGGGGCAAATATGGGCGACATGATGAGCGGGTGAGCGTGAATACGAGTGTGTGATGTTGGAAGACTTGTCAGTCGACCTTCTCATCACTCTCTAGCTCGCCGCCGCAGAGGCCTCGCTTCTTGCAGGGTCTGCGTTCGAGTCCCGATGATCCATGTAACTTGGGTTAGTTTAAGTGCTCTCTAGTCATGCTGACTCAGCCGGTTTCTCCTGACGATTAACTTACTGCATCAACCACCACCGCTGATGCTGCAACCGACATCACCACTGTTAATGTTGGTGAAAGGACCACCACTACCAGTACAGCCTCCTCTTCAACCACCACCATCGCCCCTGGTAATGTCTGTACTGAAGGTCGGTAACTTGAACAACGTAACATCTGTGTACCAGGCAGCTTGGTGTTCATCACCCTTGGACGTGTCTGTACTGAAGACGAGCGAAGTGTACCAGGCAGCTTGATGGGAAGGTGCGTCAGAGGGGTCTGTGTGTGTTCCCACGAAAACCATCGTTTCAACTTTTCCACACTACTTCCAAGTTAACTTGTGCTGGTTGGAGTGTTGACATTTACAGTCTTTTACCTGTTCCGTTGTCGGCTGGTTTACAATTTACTTTCCAAAGATCCCATCATGACTGGGGGACTCAGTTAATTATGAGGTGATTAGGGTTACGTCATCTGATTGCTTAGTGTTTCTTAAGATTCTGATTGGCTGTTTGGAAGTGTGGTTTGCCGTAATCAGGTGCTTGTTGAATGGGGAGTTTGAAAGGAAATAGGTCGAAGTGAAGTGTGGAAAGGACTCGGCTACTCCGTGACTACAAGAACAAGTAGAAAGCTGAAGCTATTATTGTTGTTAGTGCTACTATTG